CCGAACACTTCCCTCGAAGGAGTGAGGTGGAGTGCAAGACTGACTCATCGACTTCTTCAATGCCAAGCAACACACAACCCGAATCACTGGGCATGGGGTTACTTCGCTGCCCCGCATTATCAAGCAAATCAGCGCCCCACACTTCCCCTGAAGGATTCATCGTACACTGCCAAGCAACACACATCCCGAATCACGAGGAATGGGGTGACAAGGCTTCACAACATCATCAAGCATATCAGAGCCCCACATTTCCCTTGAAGGAGTGAGGTTGAATGCAAGACTGACTCATCGACTCGTTCACTGCCAAGCTACACACATCCCGAATCACCAGGCATGGTGTCACTTGGCTACTCCGCATTATCAAGCATATCAGAGCCCCACACTTCCCTTGAAGGAGTGGGGTTGAACGCAAGGAGTCATCGTACACTGCCAAGCAACACACATCCCGAATCACCAGGTTATGGGTGACAAGGCTACCCCACATTATCAAGCATATCAGAGCCCCACACTTCCCTTGAAGGAGTGAGGTTGAATGCAAGACTGAATCATCGACTCGTTCACTGCCAAGCAACACACATCCCGAATCAAAGGGCATGGAGTCACTTGGCTGCCCCGCATTATCAAGCATATTAGAGCCGAACACTTCCCTCGAAGGAGTGAGGTGGAGTGCAAGACTGACTCATCGACTTCTTCAATGCCAAGCAACACACAACCCGAATCACTGGGCATGGGGTTACTTCGCTGCCCCGCATTATCAAGCAAATCAGCGCCCCACACTTCCCCTGAAGGATTCATCGTACACTGCCAAGCAACACACATCCCGAATCACGAGGAATGGGGTGACAAGGCTTCACAACATCATCAAGCATATCAGAGCCCCACATTTCCCTTGAAGGAGTGAGGTTGAATGCAAGACTGACTCATCGACTCGTTCACTGCCAAGCTACACACATCCCGAATCACCAGGCATGGTGTCACTTGGCTACTCCGCATTATCAAGCATATCAGAGCCCCACACTTCCCTTGAAGGAGTGGGGTTGAACGCAAGGAGTCATCGTACACTGCCAAGCAACACACATCCCGAATCACCAGGTTATGGGTGAAAAGGCTACCCCACATTATCAAGCATATCAGAGCCCCACACTTCCCTTGAAGGATTGAGGTTGAATGCAAGACTGAATCATCGACTCGTTCACTGCCAAGCAACACACATCCCGAATCAAAGGGCATGGAGTCACTTGGCTGCCCCGCATTATCAAGCATATCAGAGCCCCACACTTCCCTTGAAGGAGTGAGGTTGAATGCAAGACTGACTCATCGACTCGTTCACTGCCAAGCAACACACATCCCGAAGCACCGGGCATGGAGTCACTCTGTTGCTCCGCATTATCAAGCATATCAGAGCCCCACACTTCCCTTGAAGGAGTGGGGTTAAACGCAAGGAGTCATCGTACACTGCCAAGCAACACACATCCCGAATCACCAGGTGATGGGTGACAAGGCTACCCCACATTATCAAGCATATCTGAGCCCCACACTTCCCTTGAAGGAGTGAGGTTGAATGCAAGACTGACTCATCGACTCGTTCACTGCCAAGCAATACACATCTCGAATCAAAGGGCATGGAGTCACTTGGCTGCCCCGCATTATCAAGCATATCAGAGCCCCACACTTCCCTTGAAGGAGTGAGGTGGAGTGCAAGACTGACTCATCGACTTCTTCAATGCCAAGCAACACACAACCCGAATCACTGGGCATGGGGTTACTTGGCTGCCCCGCATTATCAAGCATATCAGAGCCCCACACTTCCCCTGAAGGAGTGAGGTTGAACGCAAGAAGGACTCATCGTATACTGCCAAGCACTACACATCCCGAATCACCAGTTATGGAGTTACAAGGCTTCCCCACATTATGTAGCATATTTGAGCCCCACACTTCCCTAGAAGGAGTGAGCTTGAGTGTAAGATTGACTCCTCGACTCGTTCACTGCCAAGCAACACACAACCCGAATCACCGGACATGGAGTCACTTGGCTGCCCGGCATTGTCATGCATATAGAAGCCTCACACTTTCATTGATGGAGTGAGGTTGAACGCAAGAATGACTCATCGTTCACTGACAGGCAACACACATCCGAATCACCAGGTATGGAGTTACAAGGCTGCCCCACATTGTCAAGCATATCAGGGCCTCACTCTTCCCTTGAAGGAGTGAGGATGAATGCAACACTGAATCATCGACTCGTTCATTGCCAAGCTACACACGTCCCGAATCGCCGGGCATGGAGTCACTTGGCTTCCCCGCATTATCAAGCATATCAGAGTCCCACACTTCCCTTGAAGGAGTGAGGTTGAACTAAAGAAGGACTCATCGTTCACTGCCAAGCAACACACATCCCGAATAACCAGGTATAGAGTTACATGGAGTCACTTGGCTACCGCATTATCAAGCATATCAGAGCCCAACACTTCCATTAAAGGATTAAGGTTGAACGCTAGAATGACTCATCGTTCACTGCCGAACAACACACATCCCGAATCACCAGGTATGGAGTGACAAGGCTTCCCCACTTTATCAAGCATATCAGAGACCCACTGTTCCCTTAAATGAGTGAGGTTGAACGCAAGAAGGATTCATTGTTCATTGCCAAGCAACACACATCCCGCATCACCGGGCATGGAGTGACTTTGCTGCCCCGCATTATCAAGAATATCAGAGCCCCACACTTCCCTTGAGCGTGTCTGACAGTTGATAGGCGTGGCTGGTGGCATTATTGTGCTGGTTCCTGGTTCTGGGGTTGGCTGGAGAAACGCGAAGGTTGAAAGGAAGAATGAATCATCGACTCCTTCACTTCCAAGCAACCCATATCCCGAATCACTGGGCATGGACTCACTTGGCTGCCCCGCATTATCAAGCATATCGGAGCCCCACACTTCCCTTGAAGGAGTGAGGTTGAACGCAAGAAGGACTCATCGACTCCTTCACTGCTAAGAAACACACATCCCGAATCACCAGGTATGGAGTGACAAGGCTTCCCCACATTATCAAGCATATCAGAGCCCCACACTTCCCTTGAAGGAGTGAGGTTGAATACAAGACTGACTCATCCACTCGTTCAATGCCAAGTAACACACAACCCGAATCTCCGGGCATGAAGTCACTTGGCTGCCCCGCATTATCAAGCATATCAGAGCCTCACACTTCCCTTGAAGGAGTGGGGTTGAACGCAAGAAGGAGTCATCGTACGCTGCCAAGCAACACACATCCCGAATCACGAGGAATGGGGTGACAAGGCTTCCCCACATTATCAAGCATATCAGAGCCCCACACTTCCCTTGAAGGAGTGAGGTTGTATGCAAGACTGTCTCATCGACTCGTTCACTGCCAAGCAACACACATCCCGAATTACAGGGCATGGAGTCACTTGGCTGCCCCGCATTATCAAGCATATCAGAGGCCCACACTTCCCTTGAAGGAGTGAGGTTGAATGCAAGACTGACTCATCGACTCGTTCACTGCCAAGCAACACACATCCCGAATCAAAGGGCATGGAGTCACTTGGCTGCCCCGCATTATCAAGCATATCAGAGCCCCACACTTCGCGTTTCTCCAGCCAACCCCAGAACCAGGAACCAGCACAATAATGCCACCAGCCACGCCTATCAACTGTCAGACACGCTCCCTGTCTCAGCTCCATCCGTCGTGAAGCGGTCGTTCCCGTACTGCTGTATTGGCGCATGGAACTCCTTTCCTGACAGGCTGCTGTCGCAGCGCCCACACAAAACACGTTTTCAGTCATTCAAGACAAAGGTCTACCGACACCTGAGAGACAGCAACTGGTACTGGGCAACAGATTCCCTGTAATTTTTCGAGCTCGTCGCTTGCCGGACCCGCTAATCCGCGTACCTGGCCTTGCTCAGAGTGCTCAGCTGTGTTTTGCATACATGGAAAAACTTGTTATGATTCTTTTCTTTTCTCTGCTTATTCTTTTACCAGGCGTGGGCCATCCCCTGGATTATCAAAATGGGTGCCTTATTATTTTTCTGTTTTTTAGCTTGTTTTCTTTACACTTCTTTGTGGGAGTTTCGTTTCAGATCTATTAAAAAAGTTCATAAGTTTTGGTTGATGAAGTTGACATGTACATTGTACATCAGTCCAAACACTGATAATAAACAATCTCTTTTCATCTTGTTTTTATTTTTCTAAACACCTACCGGTACTTTTACCCATTCTACTTCCCCATAGCTAGATCTAGCTGTGCTTTACATTTCTGTTTCTTTTTCCTGGTGCGTGCTTGTGGCATTGAAGCCGAGACCTTTGGTCGGTGGAGCCCCTGGTACCTCACCATCACTGCTGCCCAGTGCAGCCCCTGCTCAGTAGCTGTTTGTTTTTGTCCACATAATTATTTATTTTACGAGTTGGGTTTGTGAATAATAGTAAAAAAAAAAAAAACAAAAAAAAAACTTCCCTTGAAGGAGTGGGGTTGAACGCAAGAAGGAGTCATCGTACACTGCCAAGCAACACACATCCCGAATCACCAGGTAATGGGTGACAAGGCTACCCCACATTATCAAGCATATCAGAGCCCCACACTTCCCTTGAAGGAGTGAGGTTGAATGCATGACTGACTCATCGACTCGTTCACTGCCAAGCAACATGCATCCCGAATCACCGGGCATGGAGTCACTTGGCTGCCCCGCATTATCAAGCATATCAGAGCCCCACACTTTCCCTGAAGGAGTGAGGTTGAATGCAAGACTGACTCGTCGACTGACTTCGAAGCAAAACATATGGCAAATAAACTGGCCTGGAAGCATTTGGCTGCCCCACATTATCAAGCATATCAGACTCGCACACTTCAGCACTGAGCAACTAACACACCGAATTACTGGGTTTGTAGTTACTAGGCTGGCCCTACCGTTCACAAGGTACTAAGAAAAGGACATCTACAATGCGGGAACACAGATTTCCACCATTTCCAATAAAGGCAACTTACTTACCTTTTTGCGCTCGACATTTCGCTATCGGTTGATGTGTTCACTTCATCTTTCTCTTCCGAATTTGTTCAAGTACTAGTGGGGTCCTTTTTCCGTGAACGATTTGTTTCGACAGTCCCAGCGTCGTTATTGGTAAACTAATCAAATAATTCTACGGTCCATTCAAGCGGCAGCTAGCTGTCGCATGGAAGCAGGCTCTCCCTTTTTCACAAACAAAAAAATTGTAGTTTGTTTGATGCAAATGCAGGCGCTAGGACAGCTGCACAGACGGAGATGCAGTTCTCATCCATTATGAGGCGCATGCGTGCTGAGTCGGTGTTGTGCCATTATTTTCGTTCCGGCGCGAAAACCCGTTGAAACCAGTGCAAACGTGCAAGGACCGGTCGTAGCTGCATGGTTACCTATGGGCTATGTAGTTGGAACTGGGTGAAACTGGTTAGAACCTGATGAAAGTGGTTGGAACTGGATGAAACCGGTTGGAACTGGGTGTAACTCTTACACTGGGTCCGGAACTTACTTGACCTGTACGCACTCAGATCAGATCAGATCACTTCCAAGTATTTCCGAAATTCCGTGCTCCGCTTGCATGGTTACTATGGTTTCACTGACCTGAAATGCAGTTGTTTTGCCAGCACTAGCACTTAGCAGTAGCACAGTAGCACTTAGCAGTAGCACAGTAGCAGGCAGTAGACCATGGTAGACCTACTTCAAGTTGGTAGACCACGGCTACGAGTAGATCTACGAGTATAACTACTAGTGTCTACCAGATCTACGCTACACTCTACACTCTGTGTGCCCCGGCCCAGCTAGGTGCACTTAGCGGGCACATTCTGTGTGACCATGGTGACACCTACATGACTTGTACTATGACTAGTAATAGTATAGACTATAGTAATAGTATAGACTATAGTAATAGTATAGACTATAGTAATAGTATAGACTATTAATAGTATAGACTAGTACAGTAGTAGTAGTACTAGTATAGTCTAGTATTCGTATATGACTAGTCTATGTAGCCATCACTACACAGACTGACTCTGTTGACAGTCACTGAGTCAGTAGGTCTACACTAGTACTGTCACCATGGTCACTAGTCAGTATACACACGGTATACGCTACCACAGACGTGTGCGCGACGCGTAGGTCTATACAGACAGTGCCAGTGGTCTACGCGTGCAAAGACTGTCGAAATCACCATGATGATTGTGTTGTTGCCTGTTGGGCCATGGCCAGACTGCCTAGCACGGCAGTACACATGGTAGATCTACAACTTACTTAGTACAAGTACTGAAGTAGATCTACAACATTACTACATGTGGGCATGAATCGCTAGCCTGGGTCTGGCCCTGCATGGGCTGGGTCTGGCCCTGCATTAGTAATTAGTTATGCAGGTTTTGAGTTTTGACTTCCGCTCCTGGAATCGAAGGCCAGATCCCAGCCAGGGTTATGAAAACCCTGGCTGGGATCTGGCCTTCGCTTCCAGGAGCGGAAGTCAAAACTCAAAGTCATGGTTACCGTGTTACAGACAGTGCAGTGTGACTCAATCGAAGCCTGAAACAACCAAGCTCCCCAACTACTTTACTACTTACTTGCCCAAGCACATGCGATGCATAGGCGTAGCGCTAGCGGAGAGTGCGTGCGTGAGAGTAGATGCATGCTTCGGTCACTAACGACTCCAGTCACCAGGTCGCGGCGGTGACCAGTGGGCAGTGAGCTCGCAGCTGCACTGAGCTGCACGAGCGGGACATGCGGAAGCGTAGATCTGCGCACTGCACTGCCGCCTAACAGTACATGGGCCATAGCCTGGCATAGGGCCAACTGTAATCATGCCCACTACATACAGCTTTGTTGTAGCTCTGCGGACAGACAGTCAGTCACACAGATCTGCACAGCGAGCACAGCTACGCCGAGCTAGCAGCAAAGCTGAGAAGTAAAAACTAAAGAGGTAAAGACTCAAGCATCAGTAGTATAGCGGTAGGAGTAGAGCCAGAGGCTTGTCGTCGTGCTGCTGCTTCCTGCTTTCGACCAGACTATGTCATCCTGAGTATCTACACTGCAAGCGTTTCCTCGTCGAAGCAAGCTAAAAATTTATTTGTGGCGAAGCAAGCTAAAATTTATTTGTGGCGAAGCAAGCTAAAATTTATTTGTGGTGAAGCAAGCTAGAATTTATTTTCACAATCTTACTACTAGTATTTGCCTCTACGTGACGAGAACATAGTGGTCAGAACAGGCCGGTTATTGGCAAGCGTGGTGCCTAGTCCGTAAGTAACGTACTTATGAAGGAATGCAGCAGTTCGCTATTTCTACCTTCAATTTCAAATGCTACATCTGTGGAAGAGGATAGGTTTCTAGCGCGTTCACGGATTTATTGAGACATGGACTTGGAAGAAAGGTGAGGTTGAAAAATAGCTGTACAAATACACAACTAGTTACCATGGTTACCTGGACATGAATGCTGCTAAATTTATCACTGAATAAAAATCAAGGTCAAGCTAGCTGTTGGTACCAGCACCGCCGCTACTGTTGATGCTGTCACCACCAGCAGAACTGCTGCTGCTGCTGCTGACAACCCACACCACCGCTACTGCTGCTGGTGCTGTCACCACCAAATCACCGCTGCTGCTGTGGCTGTCGCCACCAGCAACGCCTCTACTGCTGCTGTTGTCACCACCAGCACCACCGCTACTGCTGCTGTCACCACCGAATCACCATTGCTGCTGTGGCTGTCGCCACCAGCAACGCCTCTACTGCTGCTGTTGTCACCACCAGCACCGCTGCCGCTATTGCTGTCGCCCCACACTGCCGCTACCGCTGCTGCTGTTGCTGCTGTCACCACCAAATCACGGCTGCTACGGCTGTCGCCTCCAGCAACGCCTCTATTGCTGCTGTTGTCACCACCACAGCCGCCGCTTTTGCTGCTGTCGCCACCAGAACCGCTGCTGCTACTGCTGCTGCTGCTGCTGCTGCTGTCGCCTACAGCACTACCACTGCTGTTGCCGCTGCTTTCGCCACCCACACCTCCCCTTCTGCTACTGTCCTCATCAGCACCCCTGCTACTGCTGCTGTCCCAACCAGCACTGCATCTGCTGCTGCTGTAGCCACCAACACAGCTGCTGCTTGAGAATGGGTTTATTCACAACACCAATTGGGCCAATCTCGTGAAACCATGAAGTAAGAGTCAGGGATGAATTTATCCGGTATCGCATCGCAGTTTGCTACGCCAAATCGATCTACTGCTACTCAAAATCACAGTGACACACAGAAAACTGCCATACATACACATACAGGCTATCCATGCCTTTTTGTAGCTTACGCCACAATTGAGATTTTGCATAGCAAAAACTGCTATGCAAAAACCTGACAGTAAATTCATCCCTTAGAGTCAAAGCAAAAAGACAACCCAAATTCGGGAATAATCGAACACTCATTTGAAATGTAAGATTGAACACAAAAGCTTCACAAGAAATCGTTATCTAATAAGATTGCCTACCGGCATGCAAAGGGGAAGTCGGCCGGCGGCAATATGCTGCAAAGGGGCTCCCGAACTTGCGGCGAATGTAAGAGGCCCTGCACCCCTAAAGCACGTGACTGCCGATCGCAGCAGGCAAAACGAAACCCGGGTGCGTAATTCACCCATCACGGGCCTTCACGGCAGAATATACCAAGTCTTTGTTTTTTTGTCTACAACCAAAGCAGCTAGCAACTTCAGAAATATAGTGACTTCCTTGCCCGCCACACCCGAGGTCGAAAACACCAGTGGGGTGAATGATGCTCTCTCCACCTGGTTGACTCTGGCACCATACGCCGCCTTCTTCATTCTCTCATGTGTTCTCAGGTGGCTAAGGATTCCCAGACGAGACAGCAAGGACAGCCCAAGGTCAGTGACCTTACATCAAACCGCTACTGCTGTCGCCATCAGCACCACTGCTACATGTCAGCATGAATTTTCCTGGCTCACACCACTTCAAAATGCATGATTTAGGTTTGGTTCAGTGTCAGTGTACCATCCCAGCACGTTAAGCACTGGGAATGATCTCTAACTACGTTTACACTCTAACAATAATGAGAGGACGAAAAAGTGTTTTTACTCCGAGTTTTACGGTAAGCGATCATCAGAAACAGTAGGGGTCGTGGAACTCCGCACCTTGTGAGAGATCATGCGAAAGCCATTAAATCTGTGCTGAGTATTAATGTGTTGAAAAAGAACCTATCTAGAAGTTTGGGGCTTTATACCTGTGAATCTTCACTTTGCGACTAAACTATCCACAGCAGTGCCAAATTTTCTGGGTCCCTGAATGCGGGTGCCAGCGCCCTACAAGCAAACCAAAAATGAAACCAATGCGACCACTGAAATTACAGCTGGGTCATGTTATAGAGAGGTACATTGAATTTGAAAGGTCAGCACAAATGCTCAAAATCCGACATTTTCTCACCTTTCTGCCCGTTCGCAGCTCAGAAAATGACAATGACCATCCTCATCTCGTTGTGTAGCTGGACATAGAAAATACCACCATGAAAAAGAGCCACATTTCTCCAAAGAACTCACCCAGGGCTGCTGAAAGCTGAAAAAGAACCTATCTAGAAGTTTGGGGCTTTTTACCCGTGAAACTTCACTTTGCGACTAAACGATTCACAGCGGTGCAAATTTTTCTAAGTCAATGAATGCGGGTGCCAGCGCCCTAAAAGCAAACCAAAAATCAAATCAATGCGACCGCTGACATTACAGCTGGGTCATGTTATAGAGAGGTACGTTGAAATTGAAAGGTCAGCACAAATGGTCAGAATCCGACATTTTCTCACCTTTCTGCCCGTTCGCAGCTTAGAAAATGACAATGACCATCCTCATCTCGTTGGTTAGCTGGACATAGACAAGAGCACCATGAAAAAGGGTCACATTTCTCTAAAGAACTCGCCCAGGGCTGCTGAAAGCTGAAAAAGAACCTATCTAGAAGTTTGGGGCTTTTTACCCGTGAATCTTCACTTTGCGACTAAACTATTCACAGCAGTGCCAAATTTTCTAGGTCAATGAAGGCGGGTGCCAGCGCCCTACAAGCAAACCAAAAATGAAACCAATGCGACCACTGAAATTACAGCTGGGTCATGTTATAGAGAGGTACATTGAAATTGAAAGGTCAGCACAAATGGTCAAAATCCGACATTTTCTCACCTTTCTGCCCGTTCGCAGCTCAGAAAATGACAATGACCATCCTCAT